ATCTCTGGGGGTTGTGTCCTAAATGGATCGTTTAAGGGGGGGGGAAATAGGGGACAGCAGTTTCAAAATGCTGCTTTGAGTTATAGCCAGGCAGAGGCTGAAAACATAGCTCAACTTCCAAGTGGAATGAGCCTCTAGGCATCAGCTGAAACAACTGCACTGAGAATAAATGCATGGCAATAGTGACACAGAATAAAAATGCTGCTGACAAGAAATGGCATGCAGTGAATGAATTTCTACATACTAGTCTCCATTCTAACACAATGTAATGGATGAGCGCGCACTTTACTTTGTTATAGTTGGGGAAATGGGCTGGAAAGTTAAAAACAAAAAAGAAAGCCAAGCCATTTGATAGCAAATTCAATGAATATACCAGTGTTTCCGAACCTTTTTTGGGCAAAGGCACACTTGTTTCATGAAAAAAATCTCGAGGCACACCACCATTACAGCCCCGTGACGTCAGCGCGCAGCGTCACGCCGGGAGGGACGCACGAAAGTGTAAGTTTCAATTTTTTCCCCTCCCCCTTGCCTTCCTTCTGTGCCAACCGCCAAAAAGCCAAGAAAAAAGCCAAGACTTTAGGGCAGCAGGTCGACACGGAAGAAGCTCCTACCTAAGGACAGGTGCGACGGCCGTGTCCTCTTCTGCCACACTTGGCAGCCCTGCCTCACGGTCGTGACTCCCACCCTGATTTCTCCCCGCAGGTCGAGCGGCACAGGCAGCCCAATGTGTCCAGCCCAGACACAAGCCCCACTTCCCCACTCTAGATCCTGAATGCGACCAAGTGCTCTGGACTCCCGAGCAGGGTGGGAAAGAGGACTCGCATCTGGTAGCCTCCGGGCTCCTCGCCTGCTCGAGGGATGGCATTGCAGGCAAGCTGCCGGCCGTCGCCATTGCCGCCCCCTCATGCGAGTGGACCTGCCCGGAGTGGTGGGCCGGGGGAGGCTCGCTCTCTGTGGGGATGTGGCCCGCACGCGCGGCCCCGCTTCCTCCTGCCCAGGGCTGAGCTCCTTACCCGCGATCTCGGTCTCGCGCACGCGGATCCCACTTATTCTGAAGCTCGCGCCACTAGCCGGGGCTCTCACACTGTGCCAGGGCGAGGCGGCGCGGCCCACTGACGTCATCGCGGCTTGCCGCCGCCCTCGACTTCCCTGTTCCCTCCCCTCCCTCGGGTCGCTGTGGTTACCGAGGACTGCAAGCTGCTCGGGCAAGCGTGGGGCATTAAGTGGGAGAAGGAAAATTAAAATTAAAACTCGCCTGAAGGCCGCCTCTCCGGATACAGTGGTGCCTCGCAAGACGAAATTAATTCGTTCCGCAAGTCTCTTCGTCTTGCGAGTTTTTCGTCTTGCGATGCACGGTTTCCCATAGGAATGCATTGAAAATCAATTAATGTGTTCCTAGGGAAACCGCCTTCAGACCAGGTCCGGGGACAGTCTGTCCCCCGACCTCTTCTGAAGGCTGGGGGGGGACAAGGGCTTTTCTTTCCACCCCCAGCATTTTAAAAAACCCCGGGACAGCGGAGGACTTCTCCGCTGTCCGGGGCAATCTTAAAATGCTGGCGGGCGGCATTTTAAAATCGCCCGGGACAGCGGAGGACTTCTCCGCTGTCCGGGGCGATTTAAAAGCCCCTGGGAAGGCAGGCAGGGGGGACAAAGATTTTCGCCCCCCGCCCGCCTTCAGAAGAGGTCCTGGACCTCTTCTGAAGGTGGGCGGGGGCGAAAGTCTTTGCTCCCCCCTGCCTGCCTTCCCGGGAGAGTGGAGAAAGGCAGCGCGTTTCTCCGCTGTCCCGGATGGCTTTTGAAGGTCCTTGACCTCTTCTGAAGGCGGGCGGGGGCGAAAGCCTTTGCTCCCCCCTGCCTGCCTTCCCGGGAGAGCGGAGAAAGGCAGCGCGTTTCTCCGCTGTCCCGGACGGCTTTTGAAGGCAGGCTTTTGAAAGCCGTCCGGGACAGCGGAGAAACGCAGCGCGCCCTTGCCGCTGCCCCCCGACTTGGCTGGAAGGCTGGCGGGGGGAGAAGCCTGCTCCTCCCCATCGCCAGCCCCGCAAACTCGGGGGACAGCGGGAGAGGCACAGCGCGCCCTTGCCGCTGCCCCCCGACTTGGCTGGAAGGCTGGCGGGGGGAGAAGCCTGCTTCTCCCCATCGCCAGCCCTGCAAACTCGGGGGACAGTGGGAGAGGCGCAGCGCGCCATCCCGCTGTCTCCCGACATGGTTTGGAGGCTGGCGGAGGGCTTCCTCCTCCCCCAGCCCCGCAAGCTCCCAGAGCGATGCCAAAGCTGCGCGCAGCTTCGGCATGGCTCTGGGTCCCGTTCTGGGGGAGGGGGAAGCTCGGGCTTCCCCCGCCCCAGCCCCACGCCTGGCGGTGGGGGAATAGTGTGCCGCGGAACACTGGTGCCGCGGAACACCGGTTGGGAAACACTGGAATATACACTGAATTTCAAATAGCCTTATTGCATGACAACAAAACACTGCCTTTCTTCAAAGCCAACATGAAAATTGCCTAGACTTGTGCTTTTGCAATGTTTTTATTTACATAACAGGATTTCAGTGCAGAATTTCAGATCATTTGGCTTCAGAATGTGGGGTTTGGGGGGGGGTTATGCTAATAATGAACTGTAAGTATGAATGTACCCTGGATGAGTTGCATGAGAATGTGAAGTGAAACAAATAGTTATATATTGTCTTTTTCTAAGCCCTTCATAGATATAGTTGCGTGCACAATTCTGATTTACTATACTTCAGAGAGACATGGTAGAATTTACATTCCTTTGCACTTTGTTGCTATTATTTTTCAAATTAGTTTCAAGACTAGAATTGAAATCCTGATTTCAGTAGCTGGTGGGGGTGGTAAGATGACCTGAGGGTGCTTATCACCCCCTGTTGGCTGAATAATCTGATCATTAATTCTTCACAAAAACAGCAATTCACACTGCACAGTCACATCCTCATCATAATTTTTGGGGCAGCAGAAGTCAGAGGTTAATTGTTTGCATTTACTACACAGTTCAACATGACCCTGTGCTAAAGATCTAACCTGAGAACTGTTTGAACTTTACATTCCAAAATGTCATACCATTTGTTGGAATTACTGTTTAATTGGCCCCATGAGGGCTTTATATACTGTTTATTGATTAGGCCCTCAATAGATTTTTTTTTAAGTGATTAATTCTACAATTCGGTTGCCTAGCTGTGCTCTGTCATCTTCACACTGCTCGTCCGAAATGTTGTCAGTGATAATAATAAATGTCAGTTATGCAAAAGAAAGGAAGAGGCATTGCAGAGCACTGAAACTTGAATGATTCTGAACTTCTACAACTGCTATTAATTGTTTAAGATTTAATTGGTGGCTACTGGATTACAGCACACTACAAAATGCAGAAATGACATGTGAGCTGGTTTTGCATGTCATGCTAAACTATAGTTAAGCGCTGTAGTTAAGTTGTATACAAATGAGCAGAAATGAGCCACAGTGAATCTTGGGCTCATGCCCTGCCCTGCCCTGCCCTGCCCTGCCCATTCCTTTTATCTCTGGCACAGCCAGAAATTTGAAAGCTTCAGCATCCATTTCACTTAAGCACAGTTCACCATTACATCCAGGCCCATAACTGTGGACTTAAAGGGAACCAGCTTTGGTAACTGTGGTTTGAAGGGGTGGAGGGAGGGCATGAGCCCAAGGCTTCCCAAGAGTCATTCCTGCTTTTTCAGGCTAAACTATGGTTTAACATGCTTGAACTTGGCCTTCTCTGCCCAGAATGTTAGAATCTCAAGAGCAATTTACATTAAATGTTTTCTTTCACAGCACTCTGTACTCATATGTTCTCAAACAAGAACACAAGTTAGACAGAGGGAGCTGTCTCAGTAGCAGAATCCCATTGGGTGGTACCCTCATGGGTGCCACACCCACCGCACCCAGGAAGTGGTGGCGGCAGCAGCTTCCAGTAAGATTACGCCACCAGCCACTGCCAACCAAACCTGGTAACCCAGGATTCGGGGGAGGGGGTGGCAGGTGGCACCTTCCCGTTTTACCTCAAGTGGTGAAACGAGATGGGCTGCCCATGACAACATGTGAACCGGGAAATCATTGCTATAATTAGCAACAATTCCTGTGATAGCAACAAGACGTTCTCCAACTTCCACAATAATTTTTGCTGTTATTCATGACCTTCTTCAGGCACTTGGAGCAAACACATTTGTGCTAAAATTGGGGAGGGTGTAGGAGCACACACGCAACCTCTGTACGTTTCCGAGCACAATTCAAATTGTTGGTGCTGACCTTTAAAGCCCTAAATGGCCTTGGCCCAGCACTGTGGTACCTCTGGATACGAACGGGATCCATTCCGGAGCCCCATTCACATCCTGAAGTGAACGCAATCGGCGTCTGTGCATCTGCGCATGCGCAGGTCACGATTCACCACTTCCGCGCATGCACGTGACACCATTTTGACCATCTGCGCATGCGCGAGTGGCGAAACGCGGAAGTAACATGTTCCGTTACTTCCAGATCGCTGCAGAGCGCAACCCGAATTCACTTAACCTGAAGCAACTTCAACCCGAGGTGTGACTGTATACCTGAAGGAGTGTCTCCACCCCCATTGTTCAGCACAGACACTGAGATGTAGCTCCAAGGGCCTTCTGGCAGTTCCCTCACTGTGAGAAGCAAAGTTACAGGGAACCAGGCAGAGGGCTTTCTCAGTAGTGGCACCCGCATGGTGGAACACCCTCCCATCAGATGTCAAAGAAATAACGATCTGATGTTTAGAAGACATCTGAAGGCAGCCCTGTTTAGGGAAGTTTTTAAATGACTGATGTTTTAACGTATTTTTTATCTTTTGTTGGAAGCTGCCCAGAGTGGCTGGGGAAACCCAGCCAGATGGGCAGGGTATAAATAAATTATTATTATTATTATTATTATTATTATTATTATTATTATTATTATTCCCCACATTGAGGAGGAAGATCTGAAGTGAGATTCTGAGTGTGTTTGGGTTGTCATGCCAAGAATTCTCATAACTGGTAACCCTGAAAAAGCATTCTAAGCATGCTCACCCAAACATACTGAAAATCTCCCTTCAGACCTTCCCTCTCAATGCAGTAGTTTGAAATCAAGCCAGCTTAAACAGAGATGTTGGGGCAGTGATTGCATGCCCACTCCTCACACTCTTCCTTTTTTGCTCACACGAATTCAAAGAAACAGCTGAATAATGTTCATGATAGATCTGATTCACCTATCACAGCATCCATACAAATGTCTCCACCAACGTTTTTTAACCACACTTACAGATTAAATAAAATGCAGATACAGATGGGAAATCAAAGGGGAATGAAAGTAACAGGTACTTACTTACCTTATACCAGGAGACTGCCCCTTTTGAGACTTGTATATCCTGAAAATATTTACAAGGGAGCGACACATCTTCACCGCACGTTGCCACAACCTGTTCCGCAGCATCAGCAACCCCATGAACCACATGCCAGACTACAGGAGAGGAAACGCAAAGACAGGCTATTTATGGGAAGGCCACTCAGACGATCAGCTGTAGCAGAATCTTGAAGGAAAAACAGACCCTGAAGGCATGGGGTGGGGTGGGGGACAGTAACGAAAATTAGAAAAAATAATATATATATTTACCTTGACTTAGGAAGACAAGCTGATAGCAATATATGGATGCCATGGGCACACAGTAGCTGAGATCTATCTACTCTTTTCAGGAGATGGTAAGTGAAAAGAAGTGAAAGAGGTGATGCCTATAACTGTGTGCAGTTAACTCAGGAAACAGATGGTTGGGGATCCCCCCCCTACACTCCAGCTAAGGAAGTATTGAAGGTCTCTGACTGTAAGGGGAAGTCCCATGTGCTTTCCCCTTAGTTTCGGCCACTGGGGTAATTGGAACCACAGTGCTTGATCTGGTATTTCAAATTTCAGCGGCACCCTGTGCGAGGCCAAAATTCAGCCCCTCCCCCCTCCCATTTTGTGCATGCACTACGTCATAGTCATGGTGCCCTGCAGTGACCTCTTGGCTCAGCACCCAGTGCGGGGAAACCAGCCACGCTGCCCTAAATCTGGCTCGGCTTGAGGAGGGGAGATTTAAAGCTCCCCTCGCCACCTGCACTCCTGACAACCCCACCCCACATGCTGCAATTCACCACACAAATATCTAGTTTGACCTTGAGATGTTTCATCATCTGCGCTCTTATGTTGTTAGAAAATCTACACAGATTTTTGTGTGTGTGTCTTTATTATTCTGTCATTTCATGTCACGATTCAATCCTTTTTTTGTAAACACTCAAACTGCTTGTGCAGAAACGTCTTTGTAGCATGGACTGTCGCTACATGATGTCATTATAGCAAAACCCTATCCACCAATGCATTTACATTTCAAAACCTTCTTCGGATGCCCTTCTGTTTTTCCTCAAAACCAATTGCAAGTATAATCACTATATATTCTCTTTGAATGAATGGAGGACTTCTTGCATGAAATATCATCAGGGCAACAAACAATGCAGGAAAAGGGAAATGAAAGTCATTTGGCTGATGTGATGAGGTCATCTAACACTGAAAAATTTCCACAAGTGGGTTTTCCCCTCTGGGTAATGTTTAGACTGTACTTTCCAGATAGAAGTACATACACGCATGATTGATTACTGATTCCCATAGCCCAAAATCACTTATTTCAAAAACAAGGCCAGCTTTGATCCCTAATTGAGTTAGTAATTATAAAGACTAGGACTAGACTAAGTTTGTTTTCCATTTAGAAATAGCTGCTGGGGTGGCATTCAGTTCAAGCTCTTTGCTCATGCTGTTTTCTTCCCAACATCCTCTAGCTTACTATTTGCTACAATCTCACCTTTAAGGGCAGATAGCAGTTTAAATAAGAAGGGGAATGGGTAGCTAGAGACTTATAAATACACTGAGTTAATAGCATGTATATGTGGTTGAATACTAGAGCTGCAATCTTAAACCTACTTGGGAATAAGCCCAATCAACTCAAGAGAGCTTACTTTTAGGTGTGGAAAGAGTTGCTTTATAAATGTTCCTTAAATGTCAGTTTTCTCTTTCTTTCCTTCTTTCTTCTGCATTTATATAGATACTCTGTAACATAAGGACTCTGGGCAACTTAATAAAAACCAAATACAGTGGTACCTGGGGTTTAGTACTTAATTCGTTCCAGAGGTCTGTTCTTAACCTGAAACTGTTCTTAACCTGAAGCACCACTTTAGCTAATGGGGCCTCCCGCTGCCGCCACACCACCGGAACATGATTTCTGTTCTCATCCTGAAGCAAAGTTCTTAACCCGAGGTAATATTTCTGGGTTAGTGGAGTCTGTAACCTGAAGCGTATGTAACCTGAGGTACCACTGAACAATAATTAAAATACAATAGAAAACTACAGAAACTATTAAAAACTCAAAACACAGTTTAAACGCTTTTTTTAAAAGCACACCCTCAAAGGACCTGACCATATGACATACTTAAAAGTTCTGGGACAGGGGTAGCCAATACATGCCTTCCATGTATTTTGGACTATTTTGGTATAGGGGGAGGCAGCGGCAGCGTGTAAGGGCAGCTGGCAACAGGATGGTGTGTGGGGAGGCAGCGATGGTGGTGCATAAGGGCAGCCAGTGGTGGGATAGTGCCGGGGGGGGTGAGGTGGCAGAGGGATGGTGCAGGGTGGCAGTGGCGGCAGAATGGTGGGGGCGGGGAGGTCATGTCCCGATTTGCCTTCCCAGGATGTTGGAGGGTATGGTAAAAATGTGCAGGATATTTCAGTGACTGAGTTTGGCCTATGTACCTACTGGTATGTACAGTGGCAGAGTTACCCACCCATTGGACAGAAAAACTGAACAACAGCAGTGAATAACAACAGTTACAGTTTATAACCAATGACACTGTTAGCGAAATTCTGCTTAAGTGAGTGGGTGATGTGAGAGTTTTAAAGGAGAAGCACTGACTGCTGACTACGTAGGTGGTTTTGGAAACAGAGACTGTGTGTGGGCGGATTAACATTTAATTTATAAAGAAGTGGGTACTATAAACACATTTTGTAATAAAAACGAAAAACCAACCAAGCATATGATCAGGACTGGAGTAAAGTAGTTAGAGACCTTAATCCAAACTACAATTGGGCAAGGAGGTTTGACTTGCTGGTGTAATCATTTGAATACAGCACAACCGCATCTTATGCAAGGGTTCTGCTCCTAAAGGTAAAGGTAAAGGTACCCCTGACCATTAGGTCCAGTCGCGGACGACTCTGGGGTTGTGGCGCTCATCTCACTTTACTGGCCGAGGGAGCTGGCATTTGTCCGCAGACAGCTTCCGGGTCATGTGGCCAGCATGACTAAGCCGCTTCTGGCGAACCAGAGCAGCGCACGGAAACGCCGTTTACCTTCCCGCCGGAGTGGTACCTATTTATCTACTTGCACTTGACATGCTTTCAAACTGCTAAGTGGGCAGAAGCAGGGACCGAGCAACGGGAGCTCACCCCATCGCGGGTTCAACATATACACAAAAATAGCATAGAGGAGGGAAGAGAGAGTCCACCGAAGTCCATGTGCCAAGCAAGTTTCACTCTGGGATGCTCACAAGAACCCAAGTGGACCCACTGCATGGATAAATTTTAAGTTCTCCACCTTGACTGGATTTAACTTGCCCAATTTCAGCCAGCATAACTTCAACTGCATATGGTTGAAATCGTGCAAGTTAAATGTGCATAAGATGCAATCGTATTGTACTTCGTGTCTGCCTTCATACTTTGTGTTGGTAGTATTGTTATTTTTTTTTTAAAAAAAAAGCTTTGTAATCTGTATTGGGCAAAAGTCAAAAGCATTTTCCCATTATAAAATGCCAATTAATTATATTAGTCTGAATTAATAAGTAAGATGACCCTCGGGGTCCCTTCCAACTCTATGATTCTATGTTAGCTGAGATATTTAAAAATAGGGGAGTTATCATCAAGATTCTTTTTTAAAAATACCCTAAACCAACTCTAGATGGCAACATCACACTGTATACTTTTGCCATAATATAACAGCTGTCTTAAAAGCTGGAGCTAACAGAACTTTTCAGGAAAACCCCATCTTCAGAAGCTTCTGGTAAATATCAGTAGATTCTGATACTTTGCAAAGGCAGTAAAAATAGAATCATGTTTAATATTTCTCTGCAGTTCCCCCACATTTAGCATATAAATGAGAAGTACTGTAGGATTAACGTGTGATTATGCTAAGAACTCAAATAAACAGTAAATTTGGATCTGCAGTTCTTTGAGTTTGATTCAGTTCAATGGAGGAAGCACATATGTGTGTACGTATATGCCTTTGCCCATGCATGGAAAAGATCTCTGTGCATATCTGAGTGCATATAGGGCTGTGAATAAGGGTGGTAATTTTCTCATGGTTTTACCTTATTTTAACACAGTTACAGTGCAATCCAATGTGTGTCTCCTAAGAAGTCCCATTTAGATATACAGGGTTTACTCCCAAGTATATATAGGATTACAGCAGCAGGGTATAGTATTATAGCCTCAGTATGTTTCAGACTATAACTTCTATCAGCTCCAGCAGAGCTGTCTGAAGGGCACCAGGATATCAAAGGCTGGTCTAGACAGAGAAACTTAAATATGCTTTGTTTGTATAAGGATTGCTTTGCTGTAAACCAACTTGTTCCTTAACAGGCTGACCTGATTTTAAATAAACTCTTTAGAACTTCAGGAATTCAAAGCCAACTGAAAGGAGACTGTATGAGAAAGAGAACTTGATATCAATGTAGACAAAACTGGTTGCTGCTTTTAGAGGTAAAGGTAAAGGGACCCCTGACCATTAGGTCCAGTCGTGACCGACTCTGGGGTTGCGGCGCTCATCTCCCTTTATTGGCCGAGGGAGCCAGCATACAGCTTCCGGGTCATGTGGCCAGCATGACAAAGCCGCTTCTGGCGAACCAGAGCAGCACACGGAAACACCGTTTACCTTCCCGCCGGAGCGGTACCTATTCATCTACTTGCACTTTGACATACTTTCGAACTGCTAGGTTGGCAGGAGCAGGGACCGAGCAACAGGAGCTCACCCCGTCGCAGGGATTCGAACCACCGACCTTCGGATCGGCAAGTCCTAGGCTCTGTGGTTTAACCCACAGCGCCACCCGCGTCCCTTAGTTGTTGCTTTTAGGATGTGTATAACTCTTTACAAACCTATGAGTTGTGAAGACAAAATGAAAACTGATAAATTGGTGCCTGACCAGGAATGAGACCTTGTGTTGGTAGTGAATAGCATCAACCCAGTGTTTCAGCCGTGGAAAAGGCAAGTTCCATGTGAGGGATTATTAGGAAAGGATTGAATCATATTTGGCTTATCAAGAAAAGAAATTACTAGCTATAATGGCTATGGTTTACCTCTATTGTATACCAATTGCTGAGAACCACAGATGGGGAGAATGCTGTCACACTCAGGTCCTGGTGGGTCTTTGATCTGAGCCAGTAAGATTGTTCTTATGGTCAGCTGAAGAAAAGAACTAATGACAGCAGGTAGAGTTTTAAACATGAATACAACGTAATGAGCTAAACATCAGGAGTTCACTTGTTTTAGCTACTTGGTGATGATCATTTGGCATTTATGTTACTTGTTTAAAAAATGTAAACCGTGTAATTGAAAATATATAAGCAGTATACATCGAACAATATAAAACAATTATAAATAATACACAGATAAAATCAGTATTGAGGGCAATATTTATCAGGAAAGATTTGCTATGAATATTCCAAACCAATTTTACTTCCACCACTGCTGAGAAATTAATTTGTTTTTTGTAAGAGCATAGAAAAAGAAGGAATGTTTTGCATTTCTCATACAGCAAGCAGAACCAGTCTAATCATATTTCAAATCTCAATCACAAATCAACAGAAAAGATGTGTCAATCCTTGATTCTAGAAAAGGACTTTAGCTACCTGAGAAGTTAAACTGCAGGTTGTAATAGGCTGTGAAAGCTTTCCATTCTTCTGGGGAATGGCACAGATAGCTCAATATTCAATTTACATAAATAATCAAAATGGTGTGACATTTTTTCAACCTGTCTGCATGTCTCATGGCACCGGTAATCTAGTTATATTATTATGCAGCCTGTCTCTTGATCCCAAAGTGTATGCATAAAATTTTATTTAACATCGGTGCTGTCTCCAAAGTTTACCACAGAATTTTCCAGAAGTCATGACATCAAAATAATAATAAAGGAAGGAAGGAAAAGAAATTTGAAATAGTCCAACTTCTTAGTTACTACTCACTGAATTTTGATTTTTTGGGGGGTGGGGGTGGGGGGGTTAGTTAAATGCACAATACCAGTAGATGTGGGCAAGATTTAAGGGTAGAATCTGGACTCAGATCTAAGGATAGTTAAGGCAAGTGCCAAATTAGGAGAAATTGATTGTTTAGTAATTTTGGAGGTCAGATAAAATGCTTTCTGCCCCCCTAAAGTACCTTTTCTGCCTGCCTCTTGATTGCTTCTGTTTAAGTATTATCTTTAAAGGAACAGAGCATCCAGAAATAAACACATTTGCCCAGGTGCAGGAAGAGAAGTCTGCATGCATTAGAAGTCTTCCCCTTGTGCTGCCAGTGTGGATCTGAAAATACATTGCAATGCCATTAGGGCCCTTCTTGAAGTGGTAGGATGAGTCTTTTGAGGTGAATGGGGATGATATATGCATCACGGGCCACCACTGGTTATGTCTGATTAGCTGCTAACAGCTGAATTGGGATAATTCATTGCGGTACAGCCAATTTCTAGGAGAATTCCACAGTAATTTCCCCAACACATTTATTCTAGATGTCTTCTAGACGCATACAAAAGAACCCACCTATCGTTCTACTATAATCCATCTGCCCCACAAATTTGACCTGATTTCAATTAATTATTGTACAACCTTTTTTGGACCAGGGAACAGCTAGAAAGGAAACAATTTACTATTTTATGTTGAAAGCAAAATAGTCAAAAGATACTACTGTAGCCTAATATAAATTAGGAAATGATTTACAAATTAAAACCCACATCCACTGACAATCAGAATCACTTCTGATGCCCTTATTTGCTTGCTAATAATCCACAGTTTGGGCAATGTGCAGCCCTGGGAGCGCAGCCCTAAGAAAAGATGTAAGGCAAATACATCCCAAATGGGTAAGAAGCTGGACCTTGCTTTACTATCCAATTTGTAATCTTCCTACATTTCTTCTCTTCGGCTTTCTAACACTGTTAAGAACAATCACATATGCAGACAAATACTGTGGGCCCTGTGTGAAAAGAAAATGCTTTTAATAGTGCAGACTCCAAGATTGCCTTTCCTCTCAGTAGACCTAGCCAGACGGAAGTGTCCTCAGCTTGCAGACAGTTTGACTCTATTTCGACCTCTGTGGAATGAAATTTATGCAAATGAGCCTCCTATTGAGTTTGTATCTAGCCTCACTGCCTTACAGATGTCACACGTGGCCCCTACAAAATATTGCAGTGCAGAGCGCCCTTGTACAGGATATCCATTCCCTCTTCCTCCTGGTTTTTTTACACACACGCAGACAGGCCATACACAATGAGTCAGCATTTTGTGACCTTGAGCACTGAACATGCTGAGTCCTTGTGGCAGGAGAGGGTTCCCCCCCTTACTTATTTTATTAACAAAACTCAACTTCCCACCCTCCAGTGTTTTGTTTTTTCTCTCTAAAAATGTACTGCAGCCAGCATTTAATATCACTGGTAACTGTGGGATATAAGCCAGCCAGATGAAGTTACTTTATATGATAAAGAAATCAATGTTTATTTATTACAAGATGATGTAGTTACACAAGCTTATGTGGTTACTTGAATATACTGCTGTCTATTTAAATCAGGGGTTGGCAAACTGCGGGCTGGATCAGGCCCAATTGCCTTCAGGATCCAGCCCGCAAACTGTCCATGGATCGGTGTGGGGATACTGTTCGTTTGGGCTGCACCATTCCCCCCCCCCGTACCATTCCATTTCCCCCCCTCTCCCTCACGCACACCATGGTGGCGCCTCCTCCCTCCCTCCTCCTGGCTTCTCCCCGCCCTGCCTAGAGGAGGAAGGGGGCTGGGCTGAGTGCCATTTTAAGCAGCCCCTCTCCGGAGCCAGCCCTTTCATGCTGCTCATCTTCCTTCTGCTGCCGCCCTGGTGCTCCTGAGAGCCAGAGAGTGGAGCGGATGAGCTCGTTCTGCCTACCCACAAGAAGCAGCAGTGGTGGTGGCAACCCCAGGGAAGGTAAATGGAGCGGCTGGGGCTGGAGGGTGGAGAGGAGAACTACTTGCCCCCTCTCGCCTCTTCTTCCAGCTCTCCCCCCCATGCCGCTTCTCCAGCCCGCCACAAGGTCTGGGGGACGGTGGACAGGCCCGTGGCTAAAAAAATTTGCCGACCCCTGCTTTAAATGAATATGCACTTCGTTAACATGTTACTTAAATGCAGCTTATTTTACAGTATATGGTTTATTTACACAGATATGCAACATGAGCCTGTGATTGGAAGGGTTCACAGCATGAACACCCCAATAAGGTCTTGCTTCTCCCACAGCCTTGGATCCCAGCAGAGATCAGGCCTGGCTCTCCCTCTGCCTTTCCAGGCTGCGGCTTTGCTTCCAGCTTCTAGCTCAGAGCTTTCCAAACTTTTCATGTTGGTGACACACTTTTTAGACGTGCCTCATTTCGCAACACAGTAATTCAGTTTTACTAGGAAACTGGAGGTTAAATGAACCCCTTTCCGGTCCCGTGGGGAGCATTCGCGCGGCACACCTACACACGTTAACGTGTCATAACACACAATTTGGAGAGCTGAGTTCTAGTTCGTGTAACTGAGCTCTCCACTCTGGCCTTTCTGTCTTCCTAACTACCAGAGAATTGAGAGAGGGAGGCCTATCCATTTGTTCTCTGGCACAGAGTCACTCCCTTTGTTACCTTAGTGACCCATACTTAGCTTGCCATTACCAGGGTCGCCTGGCTATTGCAGCTTTTCATTTTCCTTATATAAAAAGTGAGTTAGCTGCACAAGAGCTCCAAATTAATTTAAATTAGGTAACCTGAATTTGCTAGTATATGATTCTTAATTATTGCTTTGAATGTATACTTAACTTTCTTTAGTAATGTTCAATTCTGGATTGTTTTATTTGATCTTTTAATATAGGTTGCAAACCACTTTGAGGTTTTTTAATTAAAAATATAAAATGGTATAGAAATGAAATTAATAATAACAATCATCACCATCATCATCATCATCATCACTATTATGGGGTAGGGTCAAATATGGAAGTGCCCATAGTATAAACATTCTATATTTTTTCCTCTAGTACCATATTGGCCTGAATATAAGCTTCACTTTGAAGGGACAGGATACCCAAATCCTGTCTGTGAAATCACCCCAGGCCTCAAAACTGTCCAAAACTCCTTTTGTCTTCTAAAAATCCAAAACAGCTTTTCTCTGCTCTCCTCTGCTCTATCACAAGATGCTGTGGCAAAAGGCAAAATGTTACTTTTAAAGGCTAATGAATAGACTCTGTCATTGCCAAGAATACTCAGGCCTGAGAAACGAATCTTATCTCATTCAGTTGCAACACCTTTGGACATGTTGAACCGTTCTCATTCCCCTTTCCTGGGAAGGGTGCCAAGAGTCCACAATAGTCCCAAGACAGCTTTCTGTTCATGCTCAGAGGAACCTCAACATGGGGCAGGACTCCTGAGGGAGGAGAAAGGGGGAGGGAACTAGAAAGGGGTATATATGTTTGTGCACATCACTGTGAACTCGTGCATGCTTTTTGTGACTTATCACACTTGCTCCTTCTACCAGTTCATGGATGGTAGAAATAAACCTTTTTCTCCGAAACTATTCCTTGAGTGTCTGTTGACTCCCACTTCCCTTTCCCAGGCGCAATATTTTTCCCACCCGAGGGCAAAGCCTCATAAGGCTACAACTTTTCCCTCAAATTCTGACCGTGAAGAGTTAAAGAATGGCTTATATTCATGACCTTATGGTATCTAGCCATGAGTGTGGGCAAACAGTACCAGGAGTGCGGCAAAGCGGCGCCAGCCTCGTGTGTGGTTCCCCGGCCTCTCCCACAAGGGCGGGAAGAGAGAGAGCAAGGAAGGGGAAAAGCCGCTGGCAACACAGTGCACCCCCCCCCAAGTATGCAGCCAGGAGCCCCCCCCTCCAATTTTAAAGGTGTGGCTTATATTTGGGTGCGGCTTATATTTGGGTCAATATGGTATTCATTCTGCTAAATCCCTTTTTGAGTAGAGGGAATCTCATAGATTCTCTCTCTCTGCCCATATGTTCGCCCTTCATGATTATCGGCCTTTAGTTAGTTGAATAATAAGTTTCTTCCCATTCTGACAGCTGGTCAGAGTAGGATCTCCTTCCTTGCTGCAGCTACCCTACTCACCCTGGCTGCTGCCACTTACATGTATCTTTCAGGCTGTTCCTCTCTTTTGTAATATGCCAAAAGTTTTGCTCTAAGCCAGGTGCTGTCTAGAGGGCATGTGGAACATTCCTTATTTTGGCCACATGCACTGAAGGAATGCATAATCTACAGTCCACAAGCAGCTTTTGGCAAAGAATCAATTCCTCTGCAGTGACTTGAAATGTTCCTACTTAACAGTCCCCACCAGTAACTGAGTTCAGTGACAGCAGCAGCTAAGATTTATAATGCACCTTGAGAGTTGTGTTGTGTGTGTGTTCCTTTTCTTCCCACTCTGATCAGTACAATGCTGAGAGAGCAGTTCATCAATATAAGCAAAGGATGCAGGAGAGAGAGGTATCAATCTTCCTCAAAGGATTATTATCAACCTCTATTTTGGAGAGAAGAAGCAAGGGGGAAGGGAATCGAACAGACCAGATCCTGATATGTAGCTGCCAGCATAAAATTAAGCAACGGTGAGGGGAAAACTAAAGACCGAAGAAGAAAAAATATACTCCGTGTGCATTTGTACACACAACTGAAGAGCAATGAAATTAGGTAAAAGGAAGATACCTGATGGAATAATAATAATAATAATAATAATAATAATAATAATAATAATTTATTATTTGTACCCCGCCCATCTGGCTGGGTTTCCCCAGCCACTCTGGGCGGCTTCCATAGAAACCAAAAAACACTAAAATATCATACATTAAAAACTTCCCTGAACAGGGCTGCCTTAAGATGGAAAAGCACAAATAACTCAGGAGACACGTTAGGTTACACTTTAAGTCTAAGCTATTCAGAAGTCTAACCCTTTAGGAGTTTGCCATAGCCTTCCCACATCAGTTCCAGGTATTCCTGTGATTTTGTTTGCAAGGTACAGTGGCAGTAGCAGCTCCCTTAAATTAAATGCCAGCATATCTGCTTTTTATTTATTTGAGACATTTTTCATTATTTGTTTTATTTAGTTATTTTCTGTCCATTTCATTTTCTTTCTGTCTGTTCTGTGGGGGGGGGTTGGGGGGAGGGTTGCTTAAACTCCCTGTTACTTCTAGATATTGAAACTGATATCTCTAAGGTACATTTTGTAATTATTTTAATGAATATTTAAGTTGTAGTCTCACTTGCTAGTAAAGTTGAATGAATGTAAATATTCTATTGATATTTTTTTCAGTAATTCAGTCCAATCCACTAATTCATTATAAAATAGGTACAAAATAAATGTGTGATTTTCAGACACCAGCTTATAGTCAATACCAGGCCTCGTGTCAATTCAAAGCCATGTTTACATTACTAGCTCTGTTCGCTCAAAGAGTAAATGGATTCAAATCCATAAACCTGCACCAAATGAGTGAAAATGTCTGGCTTTTTATTGCCTTTGTATGACTCTGATCTCCTGTACAAACAAATTAGTAAAGCACATTGTGAGACCTTTATAAATTAGTGGAGCACATTATGAGATCTTTATAAAATGTTATTGAATGGGCATCCTGTAGTCTCAAAAAATCTCGTGTGTGTGTGTGTGTGTGTGTGTAAATGAACCTACCTGCTTGGAAAGGGAGCATAGGAGGAGGGAACTGATTCATTTGTTTGCTTATAAAAGTGCTTACTCATCAGTAGCTGCTGCTAGAAAATGTTGGTGGTTGTGAAGGGGAGGCGGGCAATCCCTTAATAAATACTATAGCACAGGGTTGACAGTGAAGTGACTGATGATGAAGAATTTGCCCCCTGGTGCATCCCAGTGAATTTGACAGGTAAGACACGTTTCCCTCCTAAAATATCCAGAGGTCCCTTAATATAGAGTAGTATGCACTTTAACATACTGTAACCACTTGGCATACTGGAATGCTTCTGGGTGGAGTGCAGTAATTCAAGTTAGTGGCTGTGAGTGTGAAACCAGAAGAGTTACATCCTGGATTGATTAGCAGGGTAAACCATATACTGTACAGAGCTTAACTATTTAGTGGTTAAGAGCCTGGGCTATGGTGTCTTTGGAAAAAAAGTTAAGCTCTCATGGTGCTTCTTAAGGCAGGTCCCTACCCCCACCCCACTTCCAGCGCCTCTGCGAGGAAGGACAGACGCAGCCACTGCAAGCATCTCCCCCGGGGGAATGAGCAGAGAAGCTCCTCTCTCGCAGCCTTCTCTTCCGCTCTAGGAACGGCAACTCCTCCGCTGCTGTTAACCCTTACAGAGCCGAGCGGCAGGAACCCCTTGGCTGCTCCGGGCAGAGCACAAAGAGAGGCGCAACAGACATTGAATTTTATTGCGGGGGCCAAAGGTATCTGGCCCCTTGGAGTTGGTGCCTGTGCGCCAGGGAGCATACTGTATAGGCTATCCCTTCCCTATCATGCAGTATCCTACATGGTCCGCAGAGTAAAGGGGGTGGGGGTGGGAGAGGAAGAATTGATTCGTCCACTCTGCTAAAATATATGTGATTTTAATATCAGCTGATCTTGCTTGAGATAGGTTAAAACTGCGGGTATGTGACACTTGCCGGTATAGGGCGGTATGCAGATTAAATAAATATAATAAAAAGGGGGGAAACCCTTGAGGAACTAAGTAGAAGCATAAACTGGTGAAATTGGCACGGTTGCGATTGCAGTATCTGGAG